TACTATTAATTAGTCCTCTATCGCCAGAGTTTTTCCAGAATCATGGGTAAGCAGGATCTTGTCCCAGACAGGGTACACTTCACCTGTCCAACACAGGGCCAAGAGACAAACAAACATTCCCACAAACACCCAGGGTTTAATCTGAGCCGGATCCACCACCTCCACGTCGCAATCCAAAAATAATAACACCAGTCACCAGACCCACTCCTTCTCTGTGTCCCAGGACCTCCCACTTTACAAATGAAGCACTGCCCACACTCATACCTATGGTCAGCTTCGAGTGGACCACTGTAATCACTGTGTGTTTCTGGACTGTGGGTGGGAAAGTAGCATCTGCAGAAAACTTGGGAAAAACATCAATTTTTGTAGAAAATCAGTGTCAGTTTCCCTTCGGGGAATTGAAACCAGCTCTGTCTCACCTCTGTCTTATATGTTTTTATTTTAATTATTTAATAAATGAAAAGACATTTAGCCTCTGGCTGCTACTCTGTGAAGCTCTCTCCAACTGCACACACAATAAGCTGAGGGTCAGTGGTCCTGTAATTGCTATTATAATAATTATTCCCACTCTGCTTCTCACATCAGCATGTGGCAGCAAAAATGAAAGTGCCACCGTGAGCCGCTTTCAAATGGACGCGGCGCAATTCGTATTTAACCTCTGCCACGGTTCTGCGCAGAATCTCCAATTACCAACCCATCAGGCATCGATGTAACAACAGCTCAGGACAAGCATCCACTTGTACAGCCTAATAGGAAAATAAACCCCTTAACCCTGACAGAGTGCTTCATACTGAATTAATTCCCCTAAAACCATAATGAGTACACTGTGAACTCTGTAATGTTTTAGGAATCCATCATCGGGACTAATTATTTTTGAAGAGTCGTCACTGGAGCCGGAGTCATTTCCATTGGCCACTTGGTAAGGAGAGATTGTCGGCCTATTAGATGACAGAATCTAATTTTGAGAATCTTGTCCATGTGATCTAACCCTCATCTAAATGTCATAGGACGATCAGGAGTCCCTGCTCAAATAAAGGGTCACAGATAGATCCAATATGAGAAGTAGGATCTGGCCCATAATTCGCATTTAGACCACACATTGCTTGTGTTATCTACAATGGTGCAGTGCTAACATATTTGTGGATGTCGTCAAACCTCAAAAACCCCACGATACATCTGTAGTGACCCCTGACCAAGCAACAGTCCGAACATGACTTTTTACTCAATGGCATTTCATGACTGGACTTAAAACCAGAAGAATTTGAGTTTTTAAACACAGTCCAAGAACACACACACGCTGGGGATCAGGTCGACAGTTCAGTCTAAAAGGACCACAGGTATGAGTGTGACTGTCAGTGCTTGTTTCTCTCTAGACGTGGCCTTGTGATGTGACCCTGCCCTCACCCCCACTCCCTGCTGAAGCTGAATGAGCAGCATGGTATAGAAACAATCCACTCCCATTGGCCAACTCTGGGCCGTAAGCTTGCCCAGCATTCAAAAGGAGTTGAAAAACTGGACAAAAGAATGGACCCTATCATGTCACATCCAGATTACACAATGGCAAATGACTGCATGGTTTTTCAAAGGTCCCACATTTGCAGCACATTTGTCCTTGAAGAAGTTTAGTGTTAC